ATGAGGTAGCTGCTTTCTGTCAGACATTAATTTTGTCTGGCCTGTACCCCGTGGGCCTCGGCATCCAATGCTGTTGCATACATTGTGGACAGGATATGTTTGTGATGTGGAAACCCCCTTGAGCTTCCCAATGTTTTTCTGAGGAGTTTGTCCACATGTTTTCTTTGATCACTTCACCCATATCTGAGAGCAATGTGATGCACGTTCAGCACGACTCCATGGAAGGCACAGAGCTACAGTGGTTATGGATGCTAGCAGCTGTAACACATCTGCACAGGAATGTTGTATGCCACCAAAACCACCTGTGAATTTATCTACCATCACATTAAATATGGTGGTATTACTACATCTGTACCAGGTGGCCAGAATATGTAAGAATATGGTCAGAGGTGGAAGAGGTGCAGAGAAGAGACCAAGACCAACATGTTTCCACTGTGCCGAGCTTGTTGCAGCAGCAGGTTTGTGTGTAGCTACTCCCCTTCTGATGGCCAACAGCCTTAACTTCTGATTTCTATTTTTAAAAAAAACATTATGCTAGCAGATGAACACACAAAGTTTGGATTGCCAAGATCATTTAATAAACTAAGGGTATGTCACACATTTCTCACAACAGGCATACAAGATCCAATGTTATAATACTCTGTTTAGATGTCCCCTTTCTTCCTGTTGCCTCAATGTATTTACCACACCCTCTCCAAGGCAGAGTAAAGAGGCTGGGATTTAACTTCTCTTTCAGCACTTGTAAAGCAACAGGATTAGTTCCCATTTTATCCCCCCTCACCCCATGCACTCAGCAGCCAGGGTCAGACAACCACAGCAGATGCAGAGTTGCAGAGGGCACATGGGTGCCCAGAGAGCCAGCGGCAGCAGAGAGGGTGAAGTCCCAAAAATGCCCCTGGCCACAACCAGGCCAACATGGCTGTGCCCCACACCCCCCCCCTCCCATGCGGGTGCCCTTTCTCCCACTGCTTCAGGCTTTTGCTCTATGTGAGGTGCTCTGTTAGCAAAAAATCTGAGCAGCCTTCCCCCTGGAGGGAGGGGACTTGGGGCACGTGCCCAGCCAGCGCCCTGGCAGGGTGGTTGAGATCAGGTTGGGGGATGAGGGAAGCACAGAGGGGAGCAGGGTGACCACCAGCGCTGAGGGATGCTGTGCAGTCCTGCTGCACCCACAGCCCTCAGCGTACAGAGAGCGCAAGGGCTTCCACACCAGTGGTTTGCAAGGGCTGCACAGCTCTTTAGCAGCCCAACTCACTCCTGAGTGTCGGTAAAAAACTAAGTATTTGTCAATTTGTGGAATAAACACCCAAACCATCATCACAAGGACACTGAGCAGACAGTTGACTCCCAGCTTTGCAAGAAACATGTGCTTTCCTCCCAAGGCTACGGATTGTCCTCCTCAGTTCAGGCATACTTCCACCCACTTCACCAGACACCATGCCAGAGGGCACCCACCACCCCAGAGGTGCTGGGAGACATATTCCTCCCTTTGGGCACACTGCCCTAGGGAGGCAAGAGCCCCCCAGACATACCCAGGCTGTATTTGCCAGGCAAGAACAAGCGCAGCTAAGATATGCCCCACCATACACACTCCGCTTCCCTCCCCTCACGCGCCGGAAGGATTATGGGGCCGGTGCAGGGAACTTCTTGTCCTGCCAGGCCATGAACCTTCCTCTCCCAGTCTCCAGGAGGCACAAAGCAGCTCGGAGCAGTTGCAAGCAGACAGGCTTTGTACAAAGTTCCCGCAAACGTCTCTGCTTTTATTTAAAGCAGAAAACACAGGATGTTACAGATGAGTGGAAAAATGTGAACTGCCCCACTGCCTGCAGAGCCCCTCAGACTGGAGAATGCTTTTCTAGAAGTCAGAGGGTCTACAGACAGGATTAGGAAAGCACAGTGTCTGCTTTCGCTTTTTATTTTTGCCCTGCTTGGCTGCAGTTACACCTCCCTGCACCACACGCACAAACAACCCCCCACACACACCCTCCAGGGTCCCATACCTCCCCTCCCACTTACAGCTTCCCATAGCCCTTTTGTATTTGACTCCTGGGAGGCCTTTTTCAAACTCCTTTTGTCAGCTACCATTTCTTTGAATCACTGGAAAGCTACCAGCAAGAAGCCTGGCTCCAGCTCCCCACTGCCAGTGCTGGCAGCCGTGTGCCTGGTCCCCTGCCAGGCTCTGCCCTCCACGGGAGCCCACGGGCAGCCCCAGCCCACGCCGGACAGAAGCCACAGCCACCTCTGCCCCTGCTCAGCTTCGCACAGACAAGTTGTACCGTTCAGCAGCTCAACAGCTCACACAAAAACTGCTTTATAGCACCCACCAGCATTCACAAAATGCCCAAGTTCCCAGAACTCCCACACCTGTTACAGAGTTTACTTGCACAGCTTTGGGGAGGAATCATTAAAAAGATGTCATTTTAGCCCTGATTATGCAAGACGAAGAAGGCCACGAGTAATTTTTTTTTTCCCCTCCTAATGTTAGTACGTGCTTTTTATCCTTCAAGCTAAACAACCACCAGCCAACCTATCTAACACATTTATCAAGATCAGCTGAAGGCATCTCAAACATCTAGTCTCAAAAACCAACACGTATGATTTATTTAGCCATTTATAAGGTCCTTTACTGATGGTACTTACCTCACCATAGCAGGAAAGCAACAGACCACAGAACAAGACACATACCACATCAATGCTATAGAGACAAGTTCGCTTTTATAGTGCTATGCTTAATTTCTACTCCTTGAAACACCTGGCCCAGAGTGCCTTTTAATTGATTACAATTAGAAACTGTTGATTGGCTTGCCCCTAGCGTCAGCGACCACAATTATATGATCTGGTGAAAAGAGAAGCAGTTACTATTTTTTAACCACAATTCCATTTTTCGAGCATAGTAAAATAGCTAAGCAGTGTATTGAATGACATAGTATTACTCATATGCTTAAGCACCTGGGTCCTTGATCTTGTGCTTTATAAAGTGCTCTGAGCTGTGCTGTAATTGCCTATAAATATGCTGCTGATCATGCTTAAAGGGACACTGTCAAGGTTGGCAGGCCTACTGTCTGACTTAGTAAAATGACATCTTAAAAAGTTTTATCCTCAGTGTTCCTAAATTACCAACCTGTGGTTTTTATCATGCTTCTTTTTATCAGTCCAGCTCCTAGGATTAATAAGGTTGTGGGAGAATGTTCACTTCTAAAGCAATGGTCCAGTCATAGAAATAGTATGATAGAGGCTAATGTTCCCATCCTGAACATGCAAGTAAAAGCACTTTTCTGTAAACTCTATTTTTCCTGATGTGAATGGACATGACCTCTATTGCTCTTATGGTTTGCAATAAGGTCACCCCTTGCTGAAGCAGTGTCTTGTGAAAGAAATCTTCAGGGAAGAGCACAGGGCTGAGGAGATCAGGTCTGGGCAAGTCCGCAGCTGCATGAAGGACCCATTTTCCATGGCGTCGCTTTGTCAGCCAGTAGTCTTGTCCTAGATGAACTAAAGGGGAGGGGATGAAAAAGAGTGAGCCAGAGAATAGAGTTACAAAGCTGATGAGGAGCCTGTAACTCCGTCTCATCCTCAGCAGTGCTGCCGGGATGCAGAGGGGTGATGGGATGGGGAAATCCCAGGGACAAGAAGAGCCCTTTCCTGCACTGTCCCTTCTGAGAGAAGCTCTGTGGCTGGAGCCCAGTGATGGGGGAACTGAAGCCAGCTATTGAGGAGTTGTTTTAAACTCAGGCAAAGAGCAGTACTGGGCTTTCTCTTAAGGACAGAATACAAATAGCTATGGAGTGAAAGGTGGCCCGGGATTATTCCTTTTACGAAGGGCCTGATTTATTTCTGAGCTGAATAACTCAGCTCCTTTCTAGCGGCAGTTCTCCAGCACACTTTGTACTCACGGGAAGCCTGCAATGCCACAATAACCAAACCCATAGGTGCCAGTAAATGAAAAAGCATGCCTCGTTGGTGCCAGGGACAATGCAGGACAGGGGTCTGCTGAGGGGAAACAGAAGGAGAAACTGTAAGCGAAGGCTGAGCTGATTGTGCCAGTGTGTCTGTGTAAAAAGGCATTTTTGGAAGAGGAGATGTGGCCTTAGTCCCCCCCTACAGTATCCTGCTAGACTGTGATGCAAGATTTGAAGACAAAGTCCTGAGTTTCCCAAGACATGGCCCTACAGCCAGGCTTCACCTTCTTTTCAGACCAGGAGGTGAAATATTTACAGATACCCCAGATGTGAGGCAGAGTATTGGGTGTGCTCATGCATCACAGGTGTGTGTCAGTCACAGGATAGACACTGTCTAAACTCTAGGGACTTGAGAGAAGCCTTGGAAATGTGTAAATAAAACTCAGAAAGAACCAAAAAACAAATAGAAAATAAAGGTCTTAGGAGCCTGGGGAAAAGGTGAACCTGCAGCTGCCATGCCTAGACCAGGGACTGGTGAGCACTCGTGGCCAGTGGCAACACTTGATGCTGCACTTCCTCAAAGAGGCAAGAAGAGTAAAAATTTTCTCTTAGCTTTTTTTCGATTACAGGAAAGAGAAAAAAAGAAAAGAAAAAAAAAATCCTAAGGCTGAAGATCCCACAGAGCAGAAAAAGGCAAGTCTAGTGTCAGTCTAACGACAGATCCAGCTCAGAGTTTTGGCATGTGGGAAGGCGCTCCCCACACTTCCAGTACATACCCAAGAGAACAGGGCAGCGTAGGGGCTGTGTCTCTCACACAGGCAAGCCTTGTACAGTGTGAATATGGATGTGGATAAGCACTTGGAAAAAGTCTCATGCGTCTAACACCAAAGAGTGCATTTTGAGCTCCAACAGTTACAGAGAAACACTTGAAAGTGCAACGTGCATATATTTTGAGATCCTCTAGAAACCAGAATAAAAGCAAAATGAGCCCAAAGTCTGTACTTTTAAAAATCTCGTGCTTTTTATACAAAGCTCATATCTCCTGATTTGTTTTGAGCTGGCTCAATATTTTGAAATGGTTGTCCTTGAGAATTGTAAAACTTATTTTATTTTTTGCAGGTTTATTTCATAGAAATGCTTAAAAAGAAATAAAGTCAATCTCAATACCATTGCTTAAATCCATGATTACAACAATTCTGTGTTGTGGGTATGCAGTGAGAAACAGAGTAGGAAATTCTAAGGGATTCCTGTAACAGTAGTTACATTGTTTGTACACATGTATATCATAATAACAGAAGAGAAACAGCGACCTTGTAGTTACAAAAACCCCACCCAAACAGTGCCCTTTAAAAACATACATGTACATTTGTGTGTGTCATTAGGGACTGATACACTATGTACATTCCATCTTCCATCTGATTTATTGAAGTTTTGTCTGGGCTTTTTTTCTTCAAAACTGTGGTTGTGCCTGATATTCGCCAAGAGGAACCCAAGATTCATGAAAAGGTAAACACTTGGAAGCTGACATCAGGAGTGTGTAAGAAACATGAATTAATTTTATGACGGCGCTTTATGATGGGCCATATAAATTTTCCCACTGTAATTGGTCTATACATTCAACAGTTTTATTCTGTGTCAGTGCACATTAGTCGGCACAGCTGCTAGGGAGGCATTGCTGAACTGGTGTTTCTCTTCCATGACAAACACCTATTAAGCAGTCAGCATAAACTCTTCTTGTTACAGGCTCTGACATCACCCTCAGGGCAAGCGGACACAGAACAGCAATTGCTGAATTGCGTATGAAAATTATAGTTTTATTGTCTGCACAAGTGGAGGTTTAATTCTGATTCCTGCTCGAGTCAGCTCTGTCATAAAGGAGCGATTCTTTCAGGGAACAAACAAGCACAGTACACCATTGTAATCAAAGGAACAGGCACTATTTATGTATTGGAAAGCCTTGTTCACAATAGTGCTAACACTCTAATGCCCCAGAAGCCACTATTTTAGCAGCTGTAGAGAAAAAAAGCATGACTAATAAGATGCCATACAGAGTCAGATACAGTTTTTTTAGAACACAAATGGAATCATCCCATTTGATACAACTCAGTTTAATATGCACGACTGATAAGTAGGGATCATGTATTTAATGTTTATATAAGCAGTTTCTCCACCAAAGCGTTCAAAGACTTCCAGTGTCTCTTGAATCAGATCTCCAATATTTTCACGTTTCTGATGGCTGTAGTCTATCCCATCACCTGAATTAACTAGATAATAAAACAAAAACAAAAAAACAAACAAGAATTATTTTAAATTTACAGTTATGCTTTGAAATAATGACATAGGAAATCCTAATAAAAATAAAGGAAACACATTATTTTATAAGATAAAGAAGGACTCTCTCTTGCACAGTTTATCTCTTAAAATCATTACTTCTTTATTTCTAACATTGCTTACTTAGGACAAAATTCTACTGCTAGGTGCATAAACACCTATCTACAAAATGTGACTTAAGCTACACTTGCTATGGCTTGAACTCTTAAATAGGTATTTTGGGATTGTTCCATGTTCACACGTTTATGTGGTTTCTGATAGAGAGGATGTCATGTGGCCTAAAGGAGATATTTGGAATATAACATGGCACTCTTCAATTTCTGCTCCCTGAAAAATGTGTGAAATTAAGTCAGTGTTGAAAGGACAAATTATTGCAGACTCCAGTTGCACTAACATTTACTGCTGCTTTCTCTAACATGGACTAGCAAGGGTGACACATGTTCATACACACAGAGCATAATTCTTTAAAAAAATCAGTGTGAACATCTGTGACAACAAAAAATACAAGAATAAGAAATAACCTGCAATGACGCTGAGTGTTTTAAAGAAGGGAAATATATTTCATTTTTATTTAAAACAATATTCTGACAACTATCTTAATACGGGTATATTCTAAGACAGGTATCAAAAGAAATTTGGTAGGAGCACACTGTACTCGGGTGAGGTGCGGCGCAGTGGCCAGGTGGAGCGGCTCTCACACCACTGTGGGGTAGTCCACACACAATCAGTCAGTGGTCTCACCCCAGGCAGTGGTGGCAATGTGCCCATGTCATAGATTCAACCTCCCAAATAACGCTGCTTGCTTATTGACACTCTCAGCTGGCCAGCAAAGAACACATTTGTCAAGACAATGCAACCAAATTCTCGGGCAGTGCCTGCCTTTATCATTAGAAACATGGCACATACAAGGGCAAGAGTAGGTTTTGCTCCTGGTGCTTCTTCCACATTCGCAGGCCAAGGGGATATAGATGTACAACTGCACCATCCTCACATCCTCTCCTGGATCTAAGCCCAAGGATCTAGATTTAAAGCTTATGACATTGTTACCAGTAAAAACTGAAGAACGATGCTCATGAAGAAAGAGCTGATGAACACAGATGCAATTCACCTTTTGGTGAATTTTCCTGAAAAATATCTGACTGCACTCCAGGCTAATTATGTGTATATCAGATTTTCAAACTCCTTAGACACATTTGTGTCACTTTGCTTTTTGTAAAATGTTTACAGAAATATAGATGTGACATACAAGGACAGGGCTTCTAAGTGGAAAGGCAGTGATTTTTTTTTGTGGTGATTATTCTTAAGCATATGAATACTTTCCTATATATAAGCTATTTCACTGACATGAGAAGACAGGGTTATGACATCAAAATTTACTACAATGTATTTACTGTAATGTTACAAATAGCAGATGATAAGAGTGCATAGAAAACACAAAGAGGTATTAAAGAAAAGGATTGGCTTGTAAAAAACACTATTACGAAAAGAAAAGCACATCACAATTGAGTGCAATTTAGGTTAAACATGGTTTGCTATTGTGGAAAGCAACTGAGATCAACTGTGCCTCATCACCTGTGTTGCATGTGCACTGCCAGCACTCCTCAGAATACCTAGAGGTATTTCTGATTTCACTGGATTGAGCAAAGGAAACCCTGAACCTTGACCTAAGTCTTGGCAAGTATGTAAAGGAATTACTGACTTTCCAACCATTTGTCTATTATCTGTAATTTTAAGCCTACACACATGCTCTGCTAATGAGCTTACACAGCTTTCATCATTGTTTCAAAGAAGTAGTAAAAAAATCAGTTCTCTGGAAGTAACAGTGATGCATTGCTAAGCATGTTTGGAGGCGGCCAACAAGACGCCTTGATAATGCTAGTAGTATCACAGAATCATAGAATCATTTAGGTTGGAAAAGACCTTTAAGATCATCGAGTCCAGCCATTAACCTAACACTGCCAAGTCCACCATTAAATCATGTCCCTAAGCATCACATCTACACACCTTTTAAATACCTCCAGGGATGGTGACTCAACCACTTACATGGGCAGCCCGTTCCAATGCTTGACAACCCTTTTGGTGAAATTTTTCCTAATATCCAATCTAAACCTCCCCTGGTGCAACTTGAGGCCATCTCCTCTTGTCCTATCACTTGTTACTTGGGAGAAGCGACTGACACCCACCTCACTACAAGCTCCTTTCAGGTAGTTGTAGAAATATTCCTTTCAGGTAGTCATTGAAATATTTTTTTTCCTACAGACAATCTGTACTATTGAAGGTCTATATCCTCAAGACAGCCATAATTCACATTAATGTCATGACACAAGCTACAATACCAAAAAGGTTATGTCAGCATTGGGTCACCTGGTAAGTACTAAAATAGCTATCCCATGCAGTTATAGGAATTAACAAATCATTCAGACAAAAAAGTTAATCATTAACCCAACACGACAACATCCACTAAACAGATGAGTCAGAATGGTCTGCCCAATACACCTAAGGGTAAATATCTAGTCTTAATAACAATGATTAGTTGGAAAAAAATAGCTACTGAAGTAGAGTGGTCTCAGCATGCCCTTCTCTGGTTTGACTCTATTTGCAAGTTAGTTTGCATGAGAAGCCAACATTGTCAGCCACAAAAATGTTGCATATGTTAAGTGTGAACATGGATCTGATTCAAGCTCTTTATGAAGTTGTCCTTTGCAAGGGAGAATAAATCAATATGAAAATGCTAGGAAGCACATTTGTCATATCTTTGTCTCACAGTGAAATGTCTGGCAAATTCAGCTTTCATCAAGGACTCTTTTTTAGAGCAAACGTTATTTCTGTGTTTAGAAGAAATGCATTGAAGCGATACTAACAAATCTAGAGGATTACAAGCAGAAGTTCTCATTTACCTTTCTGGAGCAAAAAGTTAGTTTGCAGTCTCCTAAATCATGCACCAAGTGTTTTATGATGCTTAAAAGTGAAATGAAAGGTTTTGCACCTGTCAGGACCTGTGCTAGCTGATGAAATCACCCAGCACACCAAGGCCAGGAGCGGCACTCCCTGCCCCGCTGCCAGCACGGCCTGTGCCAGCTGCTGCCGCCGAGGAAACCCCACTCAGACCCTCAGGGACTGAACTTGGCATTTGGCAGGGAACGGAGGCGGATTTGAATTTTGCTTTACAATTTGGTTTGCATTTGAGTCCAGACATGCTTCTGTTCATGATTCAGGATGTTAAATAAATTCTAGTGTTATTAGTATTCCATCTCATTTAATTTTAAAATTTTACTACGGTAATGCTACAGATACAAAATGGTGTTGTATTCAAGAAGGACAAGCATTTCCCTCAGTGCATTAAGATCTTGATAGGGCCATTTTGAAGTCCTGGAGTGGACAAGAAAGTAAAGCTCAGTCAGATCTATTCTTATCTCTGGACATTTGTTAGTATCTGAAAGGGTACAAGATACTCTTTCAGTTTATTAGATTTCACTTCAAGTCAGGCCAGGTCTCAAATAGAGGATTTTTAAATCCCCCAAATATGTCAAAGTACCTCTCTGTAAGTGTCTCACAGATAACAGAGCTTGCTTCTTGCAGTGGCTGTTCCCAAGGTTCTGCTTCATAGAAAGCACAAATTAAAACCAGAGTTTTCATACACCTCTTGTTCTAGGGGTATTGTAGATCTTGGGATATTACAGTTTCCCCAAATGTTAAATATCTGAAGAATGCTTACTGTTGGAGGACAGAATAATATTTAAAAGAGATTTCGGAAGAGACCGTGAAGGAAGTCCCATGTCCCCAGTTTAAGAAATGTTTTTAATCAAATTGTCACTCGATTCAAATTGTAAGTCTGTTCCTTTATTTGTTACTGATGAGATTTCGAGAGCTTATATACACACATATATTTCAACTTGTCTTGGAACAAGTGGGTCCTAGCAGAAATTTTTAACTACAACAAGTTAAAAACAGAGAGCTCTTGTATAGTTTTTTTTTTTTTTTTTTCTGTACACAAATCAATAAAGCTACTTGGACAGATAGGCATTGTTCCTCCCTTTGTGAATCTTGAGAAACAGATACTGAAAAGTAAATTGACTTGCTCCAAATCATGGAATGGATCAGTCACAAATCATGCTTTTTGACTTTATATTGTAGATGATTAAAGTACTATTTGTGGTAAAATATAACTATGGTAAAAATAATTTTTAAGCTGCTCAGTTCATCCTAGTCAAACCAACAGGTATTTTGAGCAATTAAAATGATCACAGTAATCCAACATGCTAGCCATTTAACTGAGTAAGTTTTTTGCTTCAAAAAAACAACAGTGATGGGATTGTAAAGTGGAGATATATTTCTCAGTATGGAACTGTATTTCTACAGAAAAGCATCTCACAGAACAATATACAGTTAAACAGTACAAACTAGCGTTAAAATATTTTGTGGAAAATCTCAGGACTTTATCCCTTCTGGGAGTCAGCATCAGTACCAATAAATAAATGGAAGCTGATTTCAGCTATAGATTGACATGCATGTGTGTCAGGGTTCACACTGCATAAATTCACTGCTTAGGTACAGTTCAGAGCTTAATTAATTTTTCAAAGTCCTCTTGTTAGGATTAGTTTAATTGTTATGAACGACGTTGGCTTCCTGACCAGAGTGGAAAATGAAAGCCCCTGATGAGTCAGTGCGGCGGGAGGGAGGAGCTTTCCTTTGCACCTCTTCTCTCAGTGTGACTCAGAACTGTGCTTTGAAATTGTCAGCTCCAGGAAAGATGAGGTAGTTCGGTCTCCCTGCTCATTTAATTGAAAGCCTGTGAAAAGTCACAGGCTAAGGCTCTAAAATCCTCCTGTCTGCTAAGAAATGAAGGGAAACTGACGGTTCATTTCACTCAAGTGAAGGAAGAGCCACCAGGAGTTTATGACTTCTGGTCGTTACTAACACAGACAGAAAACCC